CTGACTATGCCACTTTGATTTGCATTATAGTTATTTGCATATGTGCCTTATTTCTCCTGCTAGAGTATAAGATGCTGGAAGGCAGGCCAGCGTTTTATCCTCTACAGTGGCTAGCACAGTACTTTGTCCATAGAAGGGGTTTAATCAGTGCTAAAGAGATTCAGGAACATGGAGCTTCTTGGGATCCTAAGATTTAGAAACTGGAAAAGGGTCAGGTTGCCCATCCTTCCCATTTTACAGATGACAAAATTAAGAGCAATAAAATGATTTACCCAAAGTCACAGAGATAATAAGACCTTTCTACAAGTGGACAAGCCGGGATTTAAACCTCAATCCTCTGTTTCTAAATTGTTTGCTCTTCCCATTTTATCATGCTTCCTTTCCCCTTTGGGAGACCTTATAAATGTGAATTAAATTGAACAGAATTGAATTAGATTTTAGTGGGTCACCTTATGAAACAAGAAATGGTATGTCAGTTGTTTCCATTGCAATGAAGAAAAACATTTTTTTAAAAGGGAAGGAAATGGAAACAAAAGCTCCTAAAAGACCACAGCCCAGAGGAGTACCATCAACAATGCTGATTGTTCAAGATGGGATCAAATTAAAAACAGAGGGGCTGATACAGCTCTCTTCTTTCAAGCCAGACTCCTGTCAGCTGTCAGAAGGAGCCTCCAGGCTACATAGTTACTGTAAGAGACTACACAGAAAAGGTCCTCATCTGAAATTTATTAGAATGCAGCCTCAGTTTCTTCATCTGTTAAGTGAAAGTTGTCTGAGATGACATCTAAGGCCTCTCGTAGGGCTAACATTCCAAGGGCCCTGTAAGGTCTTATGGACACACCTTAAGGCCACGCCTGAAAGATGCAAATGTTCGGCCGCTTCCTCTGCCTTGATCACCTTGCTTTGCTTTCTCCTGTGACAGCTGGTCTGATGGAACTAGGGAAAAGAAATCCCAGGAAGCTTGCCTGTACTTAACACTAACCTTTTTCCTTAAGAATTTGGAGGGGAGAACAGCAATCTGTTTTTTTCCCTGAATTTTTCCCTGAATATGGAGCACCCCGTTTTGACTCTTAGCTTTGTGACCCTGGGCAAGTCATTTCTTTGGGACCCAGTTGCCTCACCTATGAAAACTGGACATAATGAACCCTGTCTCCCAAGACTCTATGAAGAAAGTCATTTTTAAATCTTAAAGTACTCCATGTGTTTTTTTGTGTTAATGATGGTCCTAGTCAAGGTATTATATATTACATAATATTAGATATACATATATAAAATATGTGTATGTACGTATGTGTGTATATACACACACATATATAATATATACATACATAAAAGATATGTGTATATATTGTGTATAGGTGCATATGTGTATATATCACTTGAATTATATATAAATATGTACATGTATGTGTATATATACACATATTATATAATATATACATACATAAAACATATGTATATATTTTGTGTATATATTGTGTATAGGTGTACATTTGTATATATTTATTGTATTATATTATATATAAATATATGTGTATATATACACACATATATAATATATACACACATAAAATATATGTATCTATATTATATATAGATATATAGGTGTATATGTGTATGTACCACCTATATTACATTATATATACATAAATGTGTATATATATACATGCATATTATATAATATCTACATATCTAAAATATTGCGTATATCTGTATGTGTACATGTGTATACATACAAACATATTATATAACATAATATATACATATATAAATATGTGTGTATATGTGCATGTATATATATACCTATATACACAAAACCACATATATTTATATATAACATACTATATATGTGTGTTACACACACACACACACACACACACACAAAAAAAAAACCTCCCTGCACCAGGGACAGAGGTTCTTTCCCCTATGGGCTGAAGTCACCTTCTCACCAGGCTCTGCTCATGACTTCTCCCACAAAACCGACAAACCCAGGATAGAAAAGCCAAATGGTTTGATCATAGATTTAGAGCTGGAAAGGACCTCACCCTTATTTTATAGATGAAGGAACTGAGGTCCAGAGATGTTAAATGACTTGCCCAACATCCTACAGGTATAAGTAGAAGAGGCAGGATTCAAATTTAGATCCTCTGACTCCAGCTCCTGAATTCTTTCCATGTCCCAGACTGGGATTAATGGAAACCCCACATTGATTTATCCAGTGCCTCCTTTGACTGGAGCTAGTCAATCAGTCAACAAGCATCGATTAAGTACAACCATTTTCCTGACTACTAGGGGTACAAAGGCCAAAATATGAAAGAATCCTTGCCCTTGAGAAGGTCTCATTCTATCAGGAAGACTGGGACCTTGAACACAGGTACTCTATAGTGTGTGCGTTACCTGTCAGGCCTTGTGAGGGTGATTTGATACAGGGTGGTTAGATCAAGCCCTTCACCCAGAGGAACAGGAAGGGGCATATGCTGATAGCAACTGATTGTTGCTAATTCTACAGGCATTCTACAGATTTGGCAGCTGGTGGCACAGTAGCTAGAGCAACAGGCCTACAGTAGGAGGACCTGAGTTCAAATCCAGTCTCAGACACTTACTAGGTTGGGCAAGGCACTCAACTCGGTCACCTTTAGTTTCTTCAGCTGTAAAATGATCATAATAACAGTGCTTAGTTTAAAAGGTGGGCAGCTAGGTGGTGCCATAATGCACAGAGCACCAGTCCTGGAATCAGGAAAACTCATCTTCCTGAGTTCAAATCCAGCCTTAGACACTCACTAACTATGTGACTCTGGGCAAGTCACTTAATCCTGTTTGCCTCAGTTTCCTCATCTGTAAAATGAGCTGGAGAAGGAAAAGGCAAACCACTCCAGTATCTTTGCCGAGAAAACCCCAAATGGGGTCACAAAGGGTGGGACACTACTGAAAACAACTGAACAACAATAACACCTCCAAAGGTTGATGGGAGGATCAGATGAGATAATATTTGTAAAAACGGTTTAGTACAATGCCTGCCACATAGTGGGTAATATATAAATGCTTATTCCCTATCCATTCTTCTAGTTAGCTTCATTTCATCTACTCAGGATTGGTGCATTTTTTTGAAAGTCCTTGTGGGCATTTAGTTTTTTAATCATTAACATGATAAACATGAACATGTTCACATACAAAGAATAAGATAAAAAGAGTATTGTATACGAAACCATAATCTCTGTTACATGCAGCTTTTTTTTAAGCATACAATAAATTTAACATGGTAGTACCAACATTGTCTTGCCTATCTGTCTCCTTCTGGTTTTGCTCATGTTTGATTGGTTTTTCTATAAGAAGTTCCAGCTCCCTCTGTCCATCACAGCTCCTAAGACCTGTGGGCCATCAGGCAGTCCCACTTTCTGGGAGCAGTTTTGTGTGTAGCTTCAGTTTCCTGGGCCAGACAAAGATGAGGACCAGCAGCGCACATGTTTCCTAGCATCTTTCTTGTATGAGTCAATCTATCTGTGGGGTCTCTACGTTATACTAAACCCTGTAGTTACATAACTTGATTTATGTTCCTGGAGATATAAGACAGTTTTAAAAATTATTTTTACTTATTTCATTAGATATTTCCCAATTATATGTAAAAAAAATTTAAATAATAATTTTTAAAATTTTGAGTTCCAAATTATCTCCCTCCCTCCTACCCCTCCCCACTCCTTTAGAAGGCAAGCAATTTGATTTTGATTATGCATATGAGGTCAAGCAAAACATATTTTCATATTAGCCATGTTGTGAAAGAAATTGTAAACAAAATAAAACAATAAAAATAAAGATTTTTTTTAAAAGTATGTTTCAATTTGCATTCAGAGTTCATCGGTTCTCTCTCTGGAGATGAATAGCATTTTTCATCATGGATCCTTTGGAATTGTCTTTGATCATTGCCTTGATCAGAGTAACCAAGTCTTTCACAGTTGATCATCATACAATATTGCTATTACTGTGTACAATGTTCTCCTGGTTCTATTCACTTCATTTGGCATCAGTTCATATAAGTTTTTCCAGATTTTTTCTGAAACCATCCTGCTCATCATTTCTTATAGCACAATAGCATTCCATCATAATCAAATACCGCATCTTGTTTAGTCATACCCCAATTCTTTGCTACCACAAGAAGTGCTGCTATAAATATATTTTTTAACAAATAGGTCCTCTTTCTTTATTTTAAAAATTTTCTTTGGGATACAGACCTAGTAGAGGTATTGCTGAGTCAAAGGGTGTTCACAGTTTTATAGCTGTTTGAACACAGTTCTAAATTGTTCTCCAGAATGGTCTGACTAGTGTATTAGTGTCCTAATTTTTCCACATCCCTCTTAGCATTTCTGTATAGTTTTCCTTTTCTGTTATGTTAGTCAATCTGATATCTGTGAGGTGGTACCTCAGAGTTGTTTTGATTTGCATTTTTCTAATCAGTAGTGATTTAGAGCATTTTTTTATGTGACTGTTGATTGCTTTGATTTCTTCTTCTGAAAACTTCCTGTTTGTATTCTTTGTCCATTTATCAACTGGAGAATGGCTCTTATTTTTATAAATTTGACTCAGTTCCCTATATATATTTTTAAAATGAGGACTTTATCAGAGAAATTTGTACATGACATTTAAAAAAAATTATTATTTTTTCAATTAACAAGCATTTATTTTGTCTCCTTCCCATCCTAGTACTCTCTCTCCCCAAATAAAAACAAAATCATTGAAACAAATATGCCTAGTCAAGCAAAAAAAAATCCCATATTGACCTTGTCTGAAAATGTATAACATGATTTATTAATGGTATGAATATTGTCTTTCTTTTGACCAAGGGAAAGACAACAAACAGTCATTAGAATCTCTCTTCTTCAAGGACTAACAGTTTGCCAATATGTTTATCGTCCCTAGGGTTGACCACTTCTGAGGAGGGAGGTGCTACTAACGTTGAGGATGACTAGCAGTGGTGATATTGATGATTTGATGTGTTCTCATTGCAGGAAACAGCAGCCAATCCCAGGATATCTGCCATAGGAATAAACCAGATCTTATTCCAAGTAAATGTCAGAATGCTATTCGGGATCCCAGGAAGGAGACCAGTAGCATGTGGGGCATGATGGTGGTGGCTCAACTATTGGCCGGCATTGGGACAGTTCCCATTCAACCTTTTGGTATCTCCTATGTGGACGATTTCGCCGAACCAAATAACTCACCTTTATACATTTGTAAGTAGCATCCATGAAGAGAATAGTAGGGACCTCAGAATTTGAAGGTGTTCAAATTGTTGTCCTGCTAAACCCTTAATTGCCTTCACAGTTTGTCTTTTGATGAGGCATTTGCTAGGTAAGCTTGCTCATCTGACATCTGGGCACTTGATAATGAGAAATCCTGGGTAATTTGCCAAAAGCAACACTTCTTTGCCTACAGTAGTTTAGTAAAAACTCAAGCAAACTACTTAAGCCTCAGTTTCCCCACCCGAAAAAAATGAGTTGTACTAAATAATCTCTAAAGTCTATTCTAACTCTAAGGGTCTATGAACTATGTGATCTAGGCTTATCTAGAAGTAGGAAAATAAACCTAAGGACCTCCTGAGAGGTTCCTTTCAGCATCATGTTTGTAAAGTTGACAATTTTCCATGGTGTGAAGGAGGCCATGAGTTAGAAAACTCACTCCTCAATGACAGGGTCCCAGTGCTATTTTGTGACATTTCAGCCCTGGACTAGTCTAGCTTTGAGGAAATCCATGTCCTTTTCCTGCAAGTTCCATTACAGCCTTCAAGACCCTGATGTTGGAAAGACCAAATGGCATAGAGGTTAGAGCTGGCCTTCAAGTCAGTAAGGTCCGGGTTCAAGTTCTACCTCTGACACAAACTGACTGCATGACCCTGGATTAGTCACCTAACCTCTTGGTGCTCCAACCATACCCCAACACTATAAGTTGGCTGCAATTGATAGAGCTTCTTACCAGCAGAAATCATAGGTCTACTAAAAACAACCAAAAAGACTCTCACATTACCAGATAGCTGATATCTAGCTGAAATACCAAATGGCCCTCCTTCATCTTTTCCTCCTTCCTTCTTTTCTGTAGCCCCCATCCTCTCCCCACTATGATCACTTATCCCAGGAGCTCACCTAACTCTACCCTGCTGAGGAGAGCAGATGCTAACCAGATCACTGTCATCACCAAATTACAGACACATGGATTTATTCTATTGCCACCAGGGCTGTGCCCACTGGGATCCTTGTGGTTTCCATTTCCCATCGACAGCCTCCCTGCCTGGCCTTTTAAAAATGTCACAATGACTGTTCTCCCTGGCATAAGCTACTCATATTACATCAGAATGATTACGTTTGTATAATGGGAATTGGACTTGGGGATCAGCACCATGCTGGCAGCCAATCCCTGGGCGAGTTAGACCTTGTCCTCTATTTTGCTCTATGAGAAACCATGGTGCCCATCCAAGGGAAGGAACAGAGAAAAATAAACAGCTTTAGGGAAAACTTTCCTAACTGTTCCTTTTTATTATTTTCCCCCTTCTCATTTGAAGAACAACAAATTATGGGAGCCCAGCCCTAACGACTTAGTGCCTTCAATGTTTGGAGCTAAATTGTCCTTCTCTTTATTCCCCACAGCATTCTATCTCTTATCTTCATATATTTGCGCTAGATGTCCCTTATGACTAGAGTGCGCTCTCTTCTTACCTCTGTCTCATGGAGTCTTTCTCTTCCTTAAAGATTCAGCCCAAGGGCCATCTTGTGCATGAAGTCTTTCTTGATCCCCCTCCAAAACTTCCTTGTATTTACTTTGTGTGTGTAAATATACAAATACATGAATTTATTAACTTTGTGTTTATTCTACATATACTTTTACATATACTTGTCTTGCCCATTAGAACGTAAGCATCTTGCAAGTAGGGATTGCATCACTCTTTGCACTTGTATCTTGAGTGCCTCAGGGAATAGGTACTTAATATACCTGTTGGTTGAATGAAACTAATGATCTATTCCAAACCAATCCAGCATTTATTAAAAACCTACTTTGCACAAAGCATTGTGTGAGGTGCCAAAGATACGCTCCCTAGTCCTTAGGAAAGACAAGTTTAATCACACAACAGCAGCAACCCTCCACCAGGAGGCAGTGTGGGGTAGTGAATACAGCACCAGATTTAGAGTTGAGAGAACTGAATTCTAATTTCACATGAAACAATTTCTGGGGACCGGTCGCTTGAGTCCAGTCATTCAAGTCAACAAGCATTGTTTAAGTACCTATTGTATGCCAGGCACTGTGTTAAGTACTGGGGACCAAGAAAGGCAAAAGCTAGTCCCGACCTCAAGGAGCTCACAGTCTAATGGAGGAGATAACATTCAAACAATTATGTATAAATAAGATATATTCAGGAGAAATTGGAGATAAGCAATAGAAGGAAAGAATTAGTATTAAGTGGGCTTGGGAAAGGCTTCTTGTAGAAGATGACATTTTTAGCTGAAACTTGAAAGAAACCAAGAGGAAGAGATGAGGTGGCAGAGAGTTCCAGGCATGAGTACAGCCAGCAAAAATGCTTAGAGATAGGAGGTGGAGTGCCATGTTCAAGGGGTGGCAAGGAGAAATCATAGAGACCTAGGGATGTGAGGTATGAGAAGACTTGGAAAAAAGAAAGGGGCCAAGTTATGAAGGGTTTTAAAAACCAAACAGAAGATGTTATGTTTGATATTGGTAATAGAGGCCCTGGAGGTCAATAAACTTATTAGAGCCTCAGTTTCCTCATCCATAAAATAAGGACAATAATACTAGGACTACCTACCTCACCGTATTGTTATGAGAAAACCATTTGTAAAACTCAAATCACTATATAAAAATGATGGATTTTTCTTACTCTGTGTTAATAATTAATATTGTTGTTCAGTCATTTTTCAGTCTTGTCCAACTCTTTGTGACTCCATTTGGGGTTTTCTTGGTGAAGATACTGGAGTGCTTTGCCATTTCCTTCTCCAGCTCATTTTACAGATGAGGAAACTGAGGCAAACAGGGTTAAGTGACTTGCCCAGGGTCACACAGCTAGGAAGTGTCTGAGGCCAGATTTGAACTCAGGAAAAAGAATCTTTCCTGACTCCAGGCCCAGTGCTGTTCTAGAGACCTTTAGAAACCACAATTTCCTCACTTGTCTGGCTTTAGGTGTGAGTCTGCTTGAAACTAGGGGAAACAGACTACATGGCCTCTTATGGTCTCATTTACTCTTGGGATTCAATGGCAGTGGCTTCATGGGTGGCCAGGAGAGGAGTGTAAAGTATACCATAGATCTGAGCATGGACAGTACATCTGTCTGTGTGGTATAGAAGCTAGTAAGGAATGATGCACAGAAATCCCACACTTTCCCCTGGCAACTTCTCCCAGTTAAGTAACGATCAATAACTTGGGTGGCCTAGTCTCCATAGCCAAAGAAAAATGAAGGGATAAATGGAGAATTGAAAAAAAAAATTTTGCAAAGAAAAATTTTAGTTTTTGCAAATTTAGACTTTATAACAAAAGCAAGTGTTTTTCACCCAATTGATCTGAATTGGGATTAGGTTTGTTCTGCTTGGTGCCAGATGGTAGGAATTTTAGGGAGGCAAATTTTAGCTCAACATAAGGACAAGGTTTCTTGACAATCAGAGCTATCCTCATGGGTAGTAATTCCTGCCCTTCCACCAGAAGCTGAATGATGCCCAGTTGGCAATGTTGCTGAGGTAGTCATTCTTAAGGTAAGGGGCTGACCTTGATGAGGTGAGAGCCCGTGGGATTAGGAATGATTTGTTCTTTTTGTTATTGTTGATTAATTGCTTCCCTTTGGACGGAAAGGCCAAATTCTTCTCATCCTGTTCTACTCCTCAGATTGGATCCTTCTGTGAAACTCTTGACTTAACACTTTCCTCTCTTTTCTCCAGCAATTTTATTTGCCATTGCTGTATTTGGACCAGCTTTTGGGTACCTGCTGGGGTCGGTTGTGCTACAGATCTTTGTCGATTATGGAAGGGTCAACACAGGTGAGTATGGAGAGCACCAATCATCTGTAAAGTATTTCACTACACCTGCCTACACCTGAGTCACACCTTCCTCCAAACTCTAAACAGCACAAGCTATAACAATAGTACTACTAAATATTTCCATAGCCCTTTAAGATTTGAAATGACTACACACAAATCATCTTATATGACCTTTACAGCAACCTTTGGAGGTAGGTGCTATTATTACTCCCATTTTACAGATGAGGAAACTGAGCCTGGGAAAGGTTAAGTGGCCCAGGGTCACACAGCTAGCGAGTATCTGAAGTGGGGTGCAAACTCGGGTCTTCCTGTTTCAAAGTCTCAAGGTTGAGATGTGATGCTTGAACCTTTTTCTTTTTTGCTATCTCCAAGTCTACCTCTCTATCCACAACACTGAGCTGCCTCTCATGTTGGAGACTATGGTGGTTACCTAGGTAATTCCAACCCCAAACCTCTCATGCTCCCCCCTCCTTAAGTAGTGTATATTAAGTGCTTCACAGCCCTGCAACCTTGGGTGAATCCCTTCACCTGTCTGAGTCTCACTTTCCTCAGCTATAAACTGGGTAAGATAAAAAACCTGCACTACCTACCTCACAGAGTTGCTGTGAGAGTCACATAAGAGGCAACATTTATGCAGCACTTTAAGGTTTACGAGGGGCAGCTAGTTGGCACAGTGTATACAGCACTGGTCTTGGAATCAAGAAGAGTCATCTTAGTGAGTTCAAATCCAGCCTCAGACCATTACTACCTTTGTGACCCTGGGCAAATCACTTAGCACTGTTTGTCTCAGTTTCCTCATCTGTAGAATGAGCTGGAGAAGGAAATGCTGAACAACTCCAGTATCTTTGCTAAGAAAACCCCAAATGGGGTCACAAAGAGTCAGATATGACTGAAACAACTGAATAACAATTAAAAAAAAAAGGTTTACAAAGTACTTTACAAATATCTCATTTAATTCCCACAACCCTGGGAGGTAGGCGCTATTATTACCCCCATATTACTGTTGAGGAAACTGAGGTAGACAGAGGCAAGTGACTTGCCCAGGGTTACGCAGTGTCTGGGGTCAGATTTGAACTCGGGTCTTCCTGACTCCAGGTCCAGCGCTCTATCTGCTGAACCACCTCGTTGCCATAAGATAATGGATATAATGATCTTTGTGAACCATAAATCTCTATCTGGATGTAAACTAATAAGCATTCATGATGTGGTTCAAGCCAGGGAAAGTAGTCCTGCCCCTGCTCTCTGAGAGTCTGAAACAGACCACATCAATGCAGACAGAACAGCCACAAAGTTTAGGTGGAGGTTGCTTAGAGCTGATGGATTTTTTCCCCCCAAAGGGGCTGTCAATCCCAAGGCTGATTTGCCTAGTTATTACAGAATTTACTGGACAGAGAGAAGTCGATCCCCTCCTGGGACTTAGAAGAGGATAAGTATCCAGTCTAGACAACCTCTTCAATTACCTGGTGCTTCCCTCATTTAGTCAGAAAGCCCCTAGGCTCATTTCTCCTCTGGGCTTGACAAGAAAAGGAATTGATCTCTGTGGAAAGCAGAACTGAGGCTCCCTGTAGCTCAGCTGATGGGTGGGATTTCTGAGACCCTCCCTTCTTTCCTTCTCTCCCTCCCTACCTCCTTCTTTCCTTCCTTCTCTCCTTCCTTCTTTCCTTTCCTCTCTCCCTCCCTCCTTCTTTCCTTCTCTTTCTTCCCCCCTCTATCTCCCTCCCTCCTTCTTTCCTTCTCTCTCTTCCTCCCTCCTTTTCTTCCCTTTCTCCCTCCCTCTCTCTTTTCGTTCCCTCTCTTCTTCCTCTCTCCTTCTTTCCTTCCCTCTCTCCCTCCCTTCCTCCTTTCTTTCCCTCTCTCCCTCCCTCCTTCTTTTCTTCTCTCTCTTCCTCCTTTTCTTCCTCCTTCCCTCCCTCCTTTCCTTCTTCTCTCCTTCCCTCCTCTCTTCCCTCCTCCCTCTCAGGTGTCTTCACCTGGTCTATTCCCAACAGAGGTGCACACAGTCAGGACTTGGGCAGCTGGAGTCTGAGACTGGGGAAACTGGCATGAAGGAGACCCCAGGCTCAGCCACCCTCATTGTCCCTAATGGGCCTTGCAAATGCTCCTTCTTTAGAAGAGAAGAGAGAAGGAAAGGGCAGTTATTTAGTTGTCTGATAATGAAGCACCACTTTCCCTGACATGGGTGGTGAGTGAGAAGAATTCAGGGTCCCTGCCCAGGCAAAGGAGACAGGTTTATGTCCCATACACAATGCTTCTGTACAATGTTTCAGGCCTCCAGGTGGCACAGTGGGTAGAGCACTGAGCCTCGGGTTCATGAGTTGACATGAGTTCAAAACCAGCCTCAGAGAGTAATAGTGACCCTGGGCAAGCCACTTAACCTCAGTTTCCTCAGTTGAAAATGAAGATAACAATTGCACCTACCTCCCAGGGTTATTGTGAGGATCAAATAAGTTAATATTTGGGGAGAAAAGGGGCTTAGTACAGTGCCTGCACATAGTAGGTATTTAATAAAGTTTTGTTTTCTTCCTTCTGAAAAATCCATTGACAGACAGTACGATTCAGTAGAAAGAGAAGTAGAATTGAACTCAGAAGTCTCAGGACCTTGATTCAAATCCTGCTTCTGCCACTTATTACCCCTGTGGCCAGGAGCAAATCCTTCAACCTTTTTGGGGGTTGTTCTCCTCATCTATAAAATGAAGGAGTTGAGGTAGATGACTCCTAAGGTCCCATCCAGGCCTAAATCTGTGATGATCTGTTCTTAGACTGGGATCATGGATTCCCCTGGAAAGGGCCTGAAAGACCATCTACTCCAAGCCCCTCATTTTACCACAGTGGGAAGTGGGCCTAGGGAGAATTAGTGATTCACTCAAGGTCATAGATGTAGTAAGTACCAGAAGGAGGATTTGAACTCAAGTCCCCTGACCCCAGACTATGTGTTCTTTCCACTGTACTTTGCTGCCTCCCCTCACAGCCTCATTTGTCTAGTCTGGAAAGCAGGGTTACTCTCCTCTCTTTCATGGATCCAAAAGGCTAAACTAAGGAGATTCAGGAGCCCTTGGGAGAGAGGTTTCTTTGCTAATAAGGCAGGAAACATGAGTATCTGAGGTGAAAGAGTATAGTACTTGGAGTCAAGATGACCTGAATTTGAATCCTGCCTCAGACCCCTCCCCCTTAGCTGGGTGATTCTGGGCAAGTCATTTCACCTCAATTTCCTTATCTGTAAAATGGGGATAATTGTAGCACCTACCTCCCAGGGTTGTTGTGGGGATCAAACGAGTCACCACTTGTATAGCACGTTATAAACCTTAAAGCACTACATAAATGTTAGTTAGCATTATGAACATCATCACCATCATTGTTATTGTTATTGTTGTTACTATTTAATATTACTTCTCTCCAGCTGCTGTGAACCTCAGCCCTAGAGATCCACGGTGGATTGGAGCCTGGTGGCTAGGCCTGCTCATCTCCTCAGGCTGCTTGGTTGTCGTATCTTTCCCGTTTTTTTTCTTCCCAAGAAATATGTACAGAGAAGAGCGGGTAAGACTCTCAGAGTCTGTGACTATCTCTCCAAGGGACTGGTGGAGAATAATAGAAGAAATTAACAAGAGAACTTAGAACTGGTTGCCATCTTATCTACCTCCCCATCCCCACTCTCTTTCAACAAACATCCTCTTCTCCCTCTCCCTTAATTGGGACAGGTGACCTGGGCCAATTACCTGGTTTACAGTTTGGGCAGCTCCAAACTGCAACATTGCAGAGACGCTCAGTGGTATAGGCATGGCCTACTGACATATGACGCTGTCAGAAATTGAATTCATCACCACTCTTCTCTGTTTTTCTCCCTTTCTACCCTTTCTACACACACACACACACACACACACACACACACACACACACACACATACACCTTCCAATATTCCCAGCAAGGAATTTTCAGATTGAAATTATCTACCATGACCCATCAGGGACCGGAGGAACCCAGAGATGAAGGAGTAAGGAGATGGGACTGATTATTCTGGAGGGAAAAGAACAGGAATTCAGGGGTCAAGAAGTATGGAGGGTGCAGGGGTGAAGGAGGAAAAGGAAATAAAACCATCTACAAGAAGGAAGGTTGGGAAGTCAGGAAACGAATGAATTTCATTTAAGAATCAGTATTGATTGAATGCCACTGGGTACTGGGGCAAAGATAAAGGAAGCATAAGCTATAGTCTTGTTGTGTAAATAAAATATGGACACACAAAACTAGAGAACATAAAAAGTGATATATGAACAAATGTAGGGTAATGTATAGTAAAAATGTGACTCCCATCCCAGACTATGAAATAGTCATCTCTACCCCACCCCCTCCCCAATACTAAATCCCCTTATTTTCAGTATCTGCCTGTCCATCAAAACCTACCTTTGCTGGTTCCTATTCCTTCAGAGCCCTGCTAAGTGAGAAGTTACTTATTTGACTAGTTAGAGGCAGCTAGCTGGCTCAGTTTATACAGTGCTAGGCAGACCTCTATTCAAATGTAGCCTCAGTTATTTACTAGCTGCGTGAACCTGGGCATGTCATATAACCTCTGTTTGACTCTCTTTCCTAACCTGTAAAATGGAGATAATAATAGTACCTACCTCCCAGGGTTGTTATGAGGATAAAATGAGATAATAATTACAAAGCTCTTAGCACAGTGCCTGGTACATAATAGGCACTATATAAAAGTTAACTATTTTTAGTTATCATTATTATCTGGAGTTTGGAGAGGTCATTGTATTATAAGGTAATACAAAAAACACTAGACAGAGCCAGAAGACCTGAGTTCTCAATTTTGCTCTGCCACTAGCTGTCTTGTTTGACCTTGGATAAGTCAACTTCTTCCTCTAGGCCTCAGTTTCTTTCTTTGTAAAATGAGTAGGTCGAGACTTTATAGATCACCTTTAAGGTCCCACCCAGTCTCATTATGAACTAAGTTAAAATGTTAAGGTTTGATAATTACAAAATATTTTCCCCACTCCCAGAGAGGCAAGACCAATCAGAGTAAGAGATAGAATCATGGAAAGCCAGAGTTGAAAGTGACCTCAAAGATCATCTATCTGATCCAACACCTTCACTTTGGAGAGGAAGAAAGTGAGGCATTGAGACATAAAGAGATGTTTGTCTTTGGGGCAGTGTCGTTCATTATCCCTTACATCATGTCACCCTGAAGGAAGAGCTGTCCCTGGGCATGAGGATAACCTTAGAGTGGTGAGCCAGGCTCAGTCTGGAAGAGAGTGGTGGCAGTTGGTAGAGAAGTTGGTAGAGAAGGATCAGAAAACAGCAGGAGTTTTAGTGGATTGGGTGTGGGAAAGAGTTAGCAGATGGTCCTGCCTGGGGCACAGGGAGGACTTGGGGGTGTAATTAGAGATGAGGTTGGAAAGAGAGAGTTAGTTGATAGAGGTCCTTTGAGTTGTCATCTGAGTCTAAACTTTGTCCCATTTTAAGCTACAGAGAACTCTTGAAGGTTCTTGAGAAGGGGCAATGCAATAAAAATGATATTTGGGATAAATTACTTTGTCAGTATTTCATAGTCTGTACTAGAGCTGAAGGAAATTGAAAGCCAAAAGCTTAGGCTTTAATCCAGTCTTAGCACAGTATCTGGCACATAGCAGGCACTTAATAAATTTTTATTGAATTAAATTGAATCCTACCATGATCTAATGAGATCCTTATAGTGAATGGAAACATGGTACAAGGGAGGAATCCAGAGGACACAGTGGAAGAATTGGCAGGATTAATTAAGAACATTAGGGGTAGAGAAGGGGGATAATAATAACCCCAACATCATGAGCCTGGGGCAGAGCTAAGCAGGTGGGGAAGATAGAAAGGGCTTTTTTAGAGGGGAGGAGAAGGGAGGAAAAGCAGGAGAGGTGATAGCTCCATTTTTTGACACTCAGAGTCTCATGCACCTAGAGGTCCTCTGTAGGCTTCCAGAGGTAGGAGACTAAAGAGTGGATAGAAGGTCAGGGCTAAAGAATGGATTTGAGTCATCAACCCATGTAGGTAAGCAATGAGATTAGTAAGGGGAGAATGGAGAGAAAGCCTAAGGCAGAGCTTTGAGAAAGCGGTCAACCACCATTAAGAGGAAAAGGTCTCAATAAGGTAGAGGGAAGAGACAGACAGACAGACAGACAGAGAGGGATACAGGGAGTGAGCCAGAGGTAGACAGACAGAGAGAGAAACAGAAGGAAACAGAGACAGAGAGAGAAAGACTGACGGTGACAGAAACAGAGAGAAATTAAGATAGAGATAGAGCCAGCAAGATTGAGCACAAAGATTAAGATTTAGGGCAACAAAAGAGAATTCAAAATCAGTACATTTAGAACATGGTATCACAGAAGCTAAAGGATCACAAAATTTTTCCTGTGGAAAAGTGAAGCCATAACAGATAGAATAGAAATGAGCTAATGGGAGAGTATATACTGGCAGTATACTGGAGCTCACTCACACTGGCTGGAGAGCTGATGGTTAAATTTTTATTGTAAGGATTTACGCCTCTGAAGTTATCAAAGGCTACAAATCAAGGGCTTAATTTGTTGTTTCCTTGACATAAAGTGATAGAGAAAATGTTAATACTGCAAATTAAACTAAAAAAAAATTTAGTGTCATGCTTTTCATAGAGCTGGTTGTTAAATATTTATGAGCACACCTGTGATTTAGGCATTAATTACATGCAAATTTTTTTGTGAAATAATACATAAATTGGCATCCTTTGACTCATCAGCTTGGTGCCTTTTATAACTAGAGTGAGGCATTAGAATACTGCCATAATAAATGTTAAGTGAAGTGAATCATAGATTAGAATTACTATTTGTTTAAGGTGAACATCCTGGGTGGCCAGGAGAAATAATGTTTAGGGGCAGGGAAGCCTTAAGAAAATGCCATCCTACCAGCCCCGGGTGGGCAGCTTTCTGGAGGAGGTCAGCAGCCCAGAGTCAACCATTAAGGACTTTCTCTTTGCTCACCAGATAACCAATGCTACAGCGGATGAGTTGAGGAAGATGGAGGAAATCAAGGTCAAAGGCTCCCTGGCAGATTTCATTAAACGTAAAAACCTCACACTCTTTGGTTTCATTTTCTAATGCTTTCAGTGGAATGGCATGGGAGTAGTAGAATGTGGGGTGGCAGGAACAGGGCTTCTTCCTTTGGGGGTGTGGGTGGGGGTGGGGACCTGAGAACTCATTGGTGTAAGTTGTGGTGAAGTGAGTAAGGGCAGGTTGTCTGAAAAGCCCCCTCACTCTGGTACCCCAGCTTCCTGAGCCAATAGAGTCTGGGTAGCTCAGGTAAAGGATTTTTTTCTGGAAACTGTTTTGATTCCAAAGGGAAAATTCTTCAGTAGAGAACCAGGAGACCTAAATTCAAGCCCAAACGTGCAGGGAAATTCAAATCCAACTGGCCTGCCAAAATGAGCTCAATCCATCTACCTCACACGGTATACTCTGCTGTTAAAAGGAGCAGCACCATCTACTTACTAGCTGAAGGAGGACAGACAGCTCCAGGTCCATGGAACACATTTCTGTGTCAGTTATTGATGCTCTTTGGATGGAGCCTGACTTCTTTTAAATCCGGCATAATCTTGAACATGCTAATAGATGGAATTTTTCTAGTTGTTTCAATTTTGGCTGAGTCATTGAACTGCTTGGTGCCTCAGTTTCTCTTTCTCGAAAATAAGTCTACCATTTTAAAGAGGTAATGGCATGCTCTATGGAAGACAGAATAAGGAGGATAAAATGTTCTCTGTAAGTTTTGGTTTTTTGGTGGAGAGAGGCAGGATGGTTCCTGAGAATTCTGTGATGCAGGGAACTGCTGGTGAGAGAATTCTCTTCACCAAAGCAGATCTCTGCTTTGTAGCTTTTAATCTTAGAAGGTTGCTTGGGGACAGAGAGTTAAATAATATATCCAGGGTCACACAACCAGAATGTGTCAAAGGTAAGACTTGAACCCAGGTTCTCCTGACTTTGAGACCAAGCATGCCATCTTCCAGACCTCACTGCCTCTGTCATCATAGTCCTATTAAAAACAATAAAAGCCAAAAAATGCTTCATTTGAGAGATTAAGACCTGCCATAATGTGTTTGTTCTCAGGGTTTCCCCGCATTTTCATGAGACTTCTGATGAACCCCCTGTTCGTACTGGTGGTCCTGACACAGTGCAGCTTCTCCTCAGTCATTGCTGGCCTCTCCACTTTCCTCAACAAATTCCTGGAGAAACAGTTCGGCACCACTGCAGCCTATGCCAACTTTCTCATTGGTGAGTTCCAAAAAGTATGGCGCCACGAACTGGGAAATGGTCCTTGAGTTTAAGGGAGGGGCTCCAGAGCAAAGGACTGATAATACATTGAAAATATGAAATGCCACAGTAAAGAAAAAAAATGAGGGTGAGGAATTTCTGAGAGGAAAGAACCATAAGTACCTCTTTCCTAGTCAACAATCAGGAAAGGCCTGAGCCAGACAGACTCTGGGACCCCAACCCTTTCTAGTCAAAAGGCTTCAGTCTGAGAAGTTTCCTTTTCCTGCTGGGGAGGAGGTTATGAGGAGGCTTCCTCCCCACCCCAAGGCCCTCAGAGAGGCTAGGCATCCATTGGAATTCCGACGGCCTTGAAGAGGGTGTGACCATTGGAACAGTCAGGGTGGGGGGTGGGGAAGACGGAATATAATTTAGAACTGGTAAAACATTGTTCACTTTTTATGTCACTTTGACATTTCTTTTGTGATTTTAAAAATTTTCTAACTTAACTAACATTAAATGTGATGACTACTTCCATATACAAAGCAGAACAGAAAAACAGGACCATACATGAAGTCACAAATCTGATTTATGAATAGCTTGCTTCTCTTTCTAAGCACATAATCCATTCAGCATGTTATCTCTAAAACTGTCCTGCTTGTCTGTTTCCTATTGACCTTCATTCTGTTCTCTATTACGCATTTTAAAAACTGCCTCAATGATCATCTTCTCTTACTTTCCCCCTCCCCATTTTGGTAACCTCCTTGCTAGTTCCCCATTCCATGCCCAACTCCACCCCCACCCCCATTTGAAAGAAAGAAAAAAAAAGACCTCTTGTATCAGATAAGCATATTAAGCAAGCAAAAGAAAATGTATATCTCATTCTACACCTTTCTGTCAGGAGTTGGGAAGCTAGTGTATAGAATCATTAGTCCTTTGGAATCATCGCTGGTCATTGCATTGATTAGAGTTCTTAAGTCTTTCAATGTTGTTTTTTTTTCCTTCTTTACAATGTTGTTATTATATAAATTGCTCTCTAGGTTCCACTCACTTTACTCTGCATCAATTCAGACCAGTCTTCCAAGGTTTGTCTGAAACTAGCCCTTTCATTATTTCTTACAGCATAATACTTTCCGTAACATCCATCTACCAGGATTTGTTTCACTATTCCTCGACTGACAGGCACCTTTTAGTTTTCAGTTCTTTGCCACTATGAAAAGAACTGTTCTAAATATATTTGTAAATGTAGGTCCTTCTCCTCTTTGGGGATATAGAGGCCTGGTACTGGCATATGGTGGAGGGAGTTTTCGTGTAATTCCAAATTGTTTTCTAGAATAGCTAGACCAAATATACCTATAGTATATTACTACTCCTGTTTTCCTACAACTCCTCCAATGATTGTCATTGTGTACTAATCTGATGGAGGTGAGGTAGAAACTTGGCATGGTCTTAATTTGTATTTTTCTTATTACGAGTGATTGAATCAATCAATAAACATTTATTAAGCTACTACTACATACCAGACACTGTGCTAAGCACTAAGGATACAAAGAGAGGCAAAAGACAGTCCTTACCCTCAAAGGGTTTACAATCTAAAGAGGGAGAAAATATGCAAACAAACATATACAAAGCAAGCTATATACAGGATAAATAGGAAAAAAATTAACAGAGGTAAGGTGCTAGAATTAAGAGGGGTTAGGAAAGTCTTCCTGTAAAAAAAATGGAATTTTAGTTGGGACTTAAAGGAAGCCAGGGAAGTAGTAATTTTGGAACATTTTTCATATGGTTGTTGATAGCTTGGATTTCTTCCTTTGAAAAACTGCCAGTTCATATCCTTTGACCATTTATCTACTGGAGAATGACATTTACTCTCATATATTTGAATCAGTTCCTTGTATATCTTAGATACCAAATCTTTGTCAGAGAAACTTACTACAAAGATTCCCTGCCCCGTTTTACTGTTCCCCTTCTAATTTTAACTGCATTGGTTTTGTTTGTACGAAACCTTTTCAGTTTTATGTAATAGAACTGCTCAATTTCCTTGCCTCCCCAGAGACTCAAATCTGTCATAAAATCAACACTTCCAAAGGCTTAAGAACACAATTGCCAACAAGTTAGCCAAAGAAATGCACCAGAGTCAAAAGACCAGATTCTAGGTTTCTCTTGGCTACTCGGTAGCCATTTAGAAAAGTTGCTTCACCTCTCTACATGTCTGTATCTTCATCTGTGAGATGAAGGAGGTAGACACTTAGATTTAGCTCTGGAAGAAATCCTGGAAGTTATCAAGTTTAACTGCTTAGTTTTACAGATGAGATAACTGAGGCCCAGAGAAGATAGATGACCTTCCTAAGGGTTGAAGTAGCAAGAGCCAGAATTTTAACCCAGGACTCAAAGGTTCCCTCCAACTTAAAAATATGTGATACCTGTGCAAATGATTTATGTTATTAAACATTGGTCATGCCTTTCTCTTGTTTGTCCTTGGAATTGATTGATCTATGCTTAGTGTGGTGGGAAGATAGCAGAGATACAAAAAAAAAAAAACTCCTGTCCTCAGGGAGCTTCCAGTCTAAGGAATATTGACAGGACACAATTTACCGAATACCGCAAACAACACAAACATTTTTTTAAAAAAATACAATAAATAATGATACCTTAACCCCTGTATAGACCAGCACTTCTTAAACTATAGGTCACTACCCCATATGGGGTAATGAAAAATTTGGCAACAGTAAAAGGTTTCTGAATTAATTAAAAATCAAACTCATAATGAATCCAAGGTGTTTCTGGCAGCGCTTACTGGTATTGCCTCCCGCACCTTCACTGCAGCCTTGATTCTGAATACATGTCCACTTTGCACACTACAGATGCCCTCAGGCCATGCAACACCAACAAAATCTGTCGAAATGGGAAAAGGAGTTGCAAGTAGAAAAAGTTTAAGAAGCTCTGGTATAGACAACTGAACAAAAATCTATGTTAACTTGGAGGTTTCTGAAATGATTGGAGCAAGGGACCTAGTTGTTTCTCTGACTCCTCTTCACGCTTGCCTTTATCTTCTGGGGTTAAGAACCCCTCATATGACAGCCAGGGTCAAATGCTGAAACTGAAGCTTAAATACTGTGGCCACATAGTGGAGAACACAGGACTCAGGGGAAAAGCTCCTGATGTTGGCAAAGATAAAAGGCAAAAGGATAAAGGGATGGCAGAGGATGAGATGGATAGATAGTGTCAAGGAAACAACAAACATGAACTTGGACAGACTTTGAGAGATAGTGGAGGGATAGAAGGGCCTGGTGTGCAATGGTCTGTGGGGTCACAAAGAATCAACAAAGTACAGCGGATGGTGCACAAAAATTGGAGTCAGAAAAACCTGAGTTTGAATCCTGCCTTGGAAACTTAGTAGCTATGTGCCTTTAGCAAGCATGTCATCTAGCCTCTCTGAGCCTCAGATTCTTCATCTTTAAAATAGGTATACTAGAATTATGATTTCATCAATATGAGAACTAATGGTCTTCTTGATTCTAATTCCAGCTCCCTGACCACGGCCACATTGCCTCGCCTATATTCATTAACAGTCATTATTGTCAGTATGATTATTGTCATTTCTCATTCACAGGTGCTGTGAACCTCCCAGCAGCTGCCTTGGGGATGCTGTTCGGGGGCATCCTTATGAAACGTTTTGTTTTTTCCATTCAAACCATCCCCCGAGTGGCTACAGCCATTGTCACCATCTCCATGATTCTCTGCCTTCCCTTGTTCTTCATGGGCTGTTCTACACCAACCATTGAGGAGGTTAACACAATAAGGTAACATGGAGTCAGAAAAGGGAGAGTAGGAGTCCAAGGGCCATCTAGAGAGTTGGTTCTATGGTCAACGTAGTTAATTGATCTTTTCCTTCTCTCAGTACAATGTAGTGGGAAGTGTAGTAGAGCATAGGAGACTTGGGTTTCAGCTCCTTGATGCATGACCATTGGCAAGTTACTTAACCAGGCTGAGTCTGTTTCCTTATCTGTAAAATGGGAGTAGTAATGGTTTCTCTAGCTACTTCACAGGATTATTTTGAGGTAAATATTTTACAACCAACGGACTGTAAGAATGTAAATCATTTTTTAAATTATTATTATTATTGGATTTAAAGTTAGGAGGAATCTTAGAGGTTATTGAGTCCGACTCCTTGATTTTATAGATGGGAAAATGAGACCCAATGAGGTCAGGTGATTTGCACAAGGTCTCACACACAGGTGGTAAATTTATTTTCCTTATTCTTTGTTGTTTAGTAGTTTTCAGTCATGCATGACTCTTTGTGACTCAATTTGGGGTTTTCTTGGCAGAGATACTGGAGTGGTTTGCCGTTTCTTTCTCCAGCTCATTTTATAGATGAGGAAACTGAGGCATACAGGGTTAAGTGACTTGTCCAAGGTCACACAACTATTAAGTGTCTGAGGCCAGATTTGAACTCAGGAAGATGAGTCTTCGTTACTCCAGGCCCAACGCTCTATCCACTGTGCCATCTTCCTCTTTTCTCTTTTCCTTACTGTACTCTTTCCTTTTTCTTTCTCCTTTAGCTTCTAACGGCAGGTCTGCAAGATGAGGAATGATTCATAAACAGGGTTAAAAATAATATGGTGGCCATAGTGGTCTATTAGCAGTCAATGTTCTGTTTTAAGCCCAAAATGACTCAAATTAGCCAACAGATTCCTGGGAAGTATTGACAGACAGAAACTAGAGAGTAATCTTTATTTGGTCTCAGCCCAGTGCTGATGAGAATAACTTTGAGTATTTGAGAAGAAATGAGACAAACAGCTTGAGACAGGCCAGAAGACATCAGTCAGACACTCAATAAAAGCAGTGATCAATTCAGCAAACATTTATTAAGAACCGATTTAGTTATTTTCTGGGTTATAGTTAATGTTCCAAGTGATTCTCAGAGCGTGGTGTCCGGGATCCTGGGGGTCTTCAAGATCCTTCCTGGGGGATCTGTGTAAGACTGAAATTTTCTCATATACTTCAACTGAAACAACAAATAACAACAGATTGAATGTAGAAGCAGATATGAGAATCCAGCTATATTCTGTTTAAGTCAAACATGAAAGAGATTTATAAAAATATATAAAACAATGCTATTCTTCTCATGGATCTTTTTGGGAAAATATAGTTATTTTTCATAAAAGTATGTTTTTATGTTTCTATGTAATGGGTTTATTACCCTCTTAATGAATTAATATGTAAACATTTTTTAAAAGTTATGAGTTTTAATTTCTGCTATAGTAAAATATTGATAGATACAATTCATGTGAACAAAAGCTCCTTAAGAGGATCTTCAATAATTTTTAAGAGTGTGAGAGGTCCTAAGATCCAAAGGTTTGAGAAGTGCTATTCTAACATAAGATAGCTTGGGAGTTGACTCCTAGGTTAATTTTAAGAGAATTCCTGATGTTCTCCAGTTAGAGGTGGGATTCCCAAACTTGGGAAGGTAGAGGAATGCTAATGAAGAGTGATCACCTTAATGTTTCTTGTATTCCAAATTAGGGCGATGGTGTGGTTTGAATATTGGACTTCTAGCCGAGAAGACCTGGGTTTCAATCATGCCTCAGATACTTTCTAGCTAGCTGTTTGACCCTGGGCAGGTTCCTTAACCCTTCTGGGCCTCAGTTTGCTCATCTGTAAAATGAAAGGTTGGACTCAGTGCCCTGAAAAGTCCTTTTCAGATCTATATCAATGATCCTTCCTAACCCAGAGTCAGACTGACTTGGTTGAAACAAACCAGGAAACTCAGCCTCTCAGAGTTTATCTGTGGCCATGTCGTCTGAGCTCCATCAGGGTTGACTTGTCCACCAGGGCATATTCATTCAGCAACTATTAAGCATTAATTAAGTACTTACTATGTGCCAGACAGGGGCAATTAGGTGTCTCAGTGGATAAAGAGGTGTGCCTGGAGTCAAGAAGACCTGAGTTCATATCCAGCCTCAGACACTTTTTAGCTGTGTGACCCTGGGGAAATCATTTAACCCTGTTTGCCTCAGTTTCTTCATCTGCAAAATGAGCTAGAGAAGGAAATGGCAAACCACTGCAGTATCTTTGACAAGAAAAACCCAGAGTCCCAAATACAGAGTCCCAAAGAGTATCCTCCTGACTGACCCTCCTCCTTCCTACCTGCTGAATTTTTACCAGTCATGGGATTGCAGATTTAAAGCAGGAAGGGATCTCAGAGGTCATCTAATCCAATCTCCTCATTTTACAGATGAGGAAATTGAGGCCCAGAAGGTTTAAATGACTTGCCCAAGGATGTAGAAGTGGTTTCAGAGGCAGAATTTGAATCCAGGCCCTCTGACTCTGGAGCCATTGACATTTTCCCAGTATACCATGCTGCCTTCAGAAGCCTAGTTCAAATGTGACCGTCATCAGGAAATCTTCCTTAATTTTTCCCTTCCTGAGATTGTCATGACCTTTCCATTATCAAGTCTCATACTTGTTCAGTCATTTCAGTCACGTCCTACTCTCTGTGACCCCATTTGGGGTTTTCTTGGCAAAGATACTGGAGTGGTTTGCCGTTTCCCTCTCCAGCTCATTTTATAGATGAGGAAACTGAGACAAACAGGGTTAAGTGACTTGTCCAGCATCACACAGCTGGTAAGTATCTAAGGCTGGTATGAACTCAGATCTTCCTGACTCTAGGCCTGGTGCTCTATCCACTGAGACACCTAGCTGCCCATCAGGACACAAAGAGCATGGGCTTATTTTTTCTTTACCTTTCTTGTGCATTCATGTATTATTTTGCATTTTTAATTATGTGTATATTGGTCATATCTAATTAAGTAAATTACCATTTTATCTAATGCTTTTATCTTCTCCAGTGCCTAACACAGTGCTCTGTATATACATGCTTATTGAGTTGAATTGAATATCCCCATTTCCATGAAATTCCATGAAAATTCTGATGAAATTTCCATGAAATCTGAATATCAGATTTCCACGGTAACCATTTGATGCAATGTTGTCAAACTCAAATAGAAAAGAATTACTACAGTTTGCATCTTGACTTAGAAAACCACAAATTAACACTGCCTATATTTCATTGTATTTTTATTTATTTTATTAAACATTTCCCAATTACATTTTGGGCAGCGAGGTGACACAATGGATAGAGGAAGACTCATGTTCCTGAGTTAAATCCAGTCTCAGACACTTACTAGCTGTGTGACATTGGGCAAGTCACGTAACCCTGTTTGCCTCAGTTTCCTCATCTGTAAAATGAGCTAAAAAAGAAAATGTCAAACCATTCCAGTATCTCCGCTAGGAAAACTCAAAGGGGATCATGAAGAGTTGGGCACAACTGAACCACAACAAATTACATTTTAGTCTGGCTGGCTCACTAGGGAGTCTTGTGGGACAGGTGGGGTAGGGTGGGAGGGAGTGCATTCAGCCTTCAGAACTTGAGTTTGACACCTCTGATTTGATATACCATACCAAAGATCAGGGTAATAGTTACAGAGCTTTCTTTTCTGAGACTTTCTAGACCCACCTTATTTAACAGATTAAGAAACTAGGCTTAGAGAGGTTAAGTGATTGGCCCAAGCCCACACATTTAGCAAGCATCAGAGATGAGATCTGAACCCAGCTCCTGTCATTCCTGAGACTGTGCTCCTTCCATACTGCTTCCCTTGTATTACACCACCTAATGTGACATGTATTCAGTTCAGCATGTACTTATCAAGGGCTTGCCATGTGCTCAGAGCCCTTCAATGCAGGCTTACAGAGAAGTCCCTACAGTTTATCATCTCATTGTCCCTGAATAGAAATATGAGGTGGGTCAAATGAATGGAATCAGCATTCTTTGTTATTTTGTCCAGAATATTTCCCTGTTTCCCACTGTGAACCATGCTCTTTCCCAGTCAAACTGTTGGGCTCTACTAGTATGTTATAAAGATGACTTGGATGCATCCCACCATACTGGGTTTCTTTAGGCTCTTTTCACTAAGTTTTTCCACCAAGAGAAGTTGTAACTATGGTGAGGAAAGGACAGAGACTGGCTGTTTTGCACATGTGTATGTGCATGTATCTTAAGAGGCTGGTGGATACAGATCAGGAGGATACTCCCTGCTATGTCCCAGCATTTCATCAAATTCATGGGGCATCATGAACGGAAAAAAGTTTGGGAAATACTGGCATGTTCTCCTTACTTCTGCTGGGAGAGCAAATGAGTAGTGATTAAATAGTAAAGCAATCATACTTCTCTATCCCCATTTACCTCTACCCTCCCCCAGAAAACAATGAATTAGCTAATAGATTACCACAGGAAATCATAGTTTCTCATGTAAAAATATGTAGAATGTATAAATCCTCATGTCCAAGATAAAAATTAAAAAAAATTTTGATAGATGACAGAACATGGGTGCATAGATAGATAGAAGACAGACAGATAAAGAGCGAGATAGATAGATGATACAAGAAAAATGGACGGATAGGAGACAGAGACAAACAGATAAGGTAGATGATAGTAGATCAATAAATAGAGTAATTGATCGATCGATAGATAGACGATAGAGGATAGATGGATGATCAAAGACAGAGAAAACAACTTCTGCCTATGGTTTGGGTTGTATACTGAAGCTACCATTTTCCCTATCAAGATCACAGTTATTTGGGACTCTGTCTCCTCCCCTATGGACCTTGGGGGTCATATGTTTGAAGACCACAGCTCTCCAACGCTGCAGAGCTATTCAGCTAGGGATAGGGACACCCAATGGGGATATAAATGTGTAGGTACCAACAAGAATGATGGAGAAAATAAAGAACAAGTAGCATGCTTATTGTCCATCTATGATTTAGAGCTGGGAAAGACCCAAGAGGTCATCAGATCCAACCTCCTCCTTTTACAGATGAGGAAACTGAGGTACAGAGAGGTTAACTGACTTGCCCAGGGTTACCTACCTGGTAAAAGCCTGGTATGGGATTTGAACTTGTGTTTTTTCAAATTTCAAATCCAGTGTCCTTCCCCACTATGCCATGCTGCCTCTCCCCATTGGACAGAGCCCAGTATGGCAACCACCCAAGATAAACAGAGACAGGGATATTAGACAGGCTGAGAACTCACAAAGGGCAAGAGGGTTTTTTTTTTTTTTTGGTAGGGGCAATGGAGAGTGAGTTGTTGGGTACTTTGTTTTGCTTTGCTCTGTTTTATGCTTTATTTCCTGTTTTATTGGCAGAACACCAAGTTCTATAAATCGGGCACCACTAGAATGTCGCAAGGAGTGCTCATGTCCTGATTCCATCTTTCACCCTGTCTGTGGGTCCAATGGAATAGAGTACATCTCCCCCTGTCATGCTGGTTGCATGGACTTCAACATCAGCTCAGTGAATTCAAAACAAGTGGTAAGGGATAGCATGGATTCCAGGAGGAATAATGATGATGTCTTTAGAGCTGCAAAGGCCTTTCATAGATAACATTTCATTTAATTCTCACAATAGCTCAGGATGGGACTGCACCTAGGATTCATTAGTAGAAGGAACTTCTCTCTGTCTTTTTAGGCAATGGGATTAAGTGACTTACCCAGAGTCACAAAGCTAGTAAGTATCTGAAGCTGGATTTGAACTCAGGTCCTTCTGACTCCAGGGCCAGTTCTCTATCCACTCTACCATCTAGCTGTCCCCTAGTAGACAGAACTTCTGAAGACCCAGCTCCATCTACCAGGTTAGCAGGTTCACTGCAACTTCTCATCTTAGGGAGTAGCTTGGGGCCTTGGGAAAGTAAATGATTCGGCCAACGTCACACAGATAGTATTTGTCACAAGCAAGATTTGAATCCAAATCTTCCAGTCTCTGTGGCTGGTTTTCTATCCACTAGTACCAGTATAGCTATGGGATTTGATATGGAAGAGACTGAGACCCAGAGAAACAAAATGGCTTTCCTAAATTTAAATAACAGATGGAGGAATGGAAGTTTAAACCCAGGTCTATTGATGTGCAAATCCAATGCTTTTCCTACTGGCAGCTAGATGGATAGAGTTGCAGTGGAGAGAGCACTGGGCTTGGAGTCAGGAAGACTTGAATTCAAATCTGGCCTCAGTCACTTCAGTTGTGTGACCCTGGGCAAATCATTCAACTTCTGCTGCCTTAGTTTCCTCAACTATAAAATGGGGATAATAATATCACTTACCTCCTAGGTTTGTTATGAGGATAAAATGAGATCATATTTGTAAAGCTCTTAGCAAAGTGTCTAGCACAGAGTGGGTACTTAATAAATGCTTCCTTCCTTTCTTCTTTTCTTCCTTCTCTCTCTCCTTTATTTCATCTCTTCTTTTCCTCATTCCCTCTTTCCCTTCTTCATTCTTTTCCTTCCTTCCCTCCCTCCCTCTCTCCTTCCTTCCTTCTTTCCTCCCTTCCTTCCTCTTTTCCTCCTTTCTTTCTTCTCTTCCTTCCTTCTTTCCTTTCACAAAAGTGCTGCTTTTCCCTGGAGCCTTTGTCTGCACAACAGCCACCCTATCAAGACATTCCCAAATGTCCTCAAACTCCAACAAAATAGTGCTCAGTCCCTTGAATTGACCAGAGCCCTTTCAATGCACATCTTAGGTACCCCTGACCTTCTAAGGCTCTACCCATCACTAATAGAGCCAGGTCTCTATAGCATAGAGAGAGAAGTAAAGAGTTGCTGATTGACAGATACTTTTAACTCATCCAGGTCTGATTTGAGCATTGTCACTGCATTGAACTGAATTGAGAGAGAGTTCTTCTCATGACAACTTTATAGGGAGTTGTCCAAGGACTTTCTCTGACCCATTTTCCAGATGAGTAACTAACTCACTTTGAGCACTTTAGACTTGACAAAGCATTTTCCTCCCTAGTAGAGTCACTCCGTTAGACTGTGAGCTCACTGAGGGCAAAGACTGTTATTTTTTCCCTTTTTTTCCTTTCTTTGTATCCCCAGCGCTTAGCAGAGTGCCTGGCATATAGTGGGCTCTTCATATTGTTGACTTAATGAAAAATCCAGCTTTTGCCCTCATCAATACAACAGGTGAAGTGAATTCAAGGCCAAAATTCTTGGTCAGTTCAGTGCTGGGATCATCAGAGAATAACTGATTCATGAAAGAACTGATACATGCATTTGCAAGTACAAAGATTTGTAAACTAATAATAGACTTTGTTTTTCCTCTTTTGGTGTTTTGTCCATATCTCAAGACCTATTTCAATTGTACCTGTATCCCCGGTGCGGCCTCTTCAGCAAAGACGGGATCTTGTCCAATCCCCTGTGCTCACTTCCTGCTCCCCACCATCTTCCTCATCTCCCTCGTCTCATTGATTGCCTGCATTTCCCACAATCCTCTCTACATGATGGTCTTGAGGTAAGTGAACGTGAGAGTTCTGAAGCTTAGGAAGAAAGCTTTTTGTAGGACTTCTTCTCCTTCCTTGTCCTCTCTTTCCACTTATGCTTACTTTACACTTCCTCTCTTGTTTCCTCTTTTTCTTGTTTATACAAAGTTCTCCCCACCCTGAGGCAGAGGTGGGTTGGGCACTGATTCCAGAGCCAAAGTATAAGGCCTGCCTCTGATACTTTCCACAACAATAACAATAAAAATACTAGCTAATATATAGTATATTTATGTTTCACAAAGCATGTTACATATGTTAGCACATTTAATCCTCAAAACAGCAGTGTGAGGTAGGGGCTGATATTATCCCCATTTTCTTGAAGAGGAAACTGAGGCTAAAGGAAGTTAAGGGAATTGCCTGGGATCACATAGCTAGAAAGTGTCAAAGGCAGGATTGTGAACACAGGTCTTCATGACTCCACATCCAGGACTCTAAACCACTCTGCCACCTAGTTTCTGGGGCCTCATTTTCCTCATCTGTGAAATGGGCAGGGTTGGACTGGATGGACTTTGAGGCCTCTTCCAGCTTTGGATCTTTGATCCTGTAACAGATTTCAAACCAACTTTGACTTCATGAATAAGTCTTAGAGAACTGCCTAAGATTTAGAGTAATTAAGAATCGCCCATTGTCACACACTAATATATTTAAAGTAGGAGAGAAAAAAAATTTTAAAGAGAAAAAAAATTTTTTTAAAGTAGGAGAGAAAGGATTTCAACCAGGCCTTCGTCTCTAGGTCCAGCCCTTTACCCACTATACCATGTTCCCTCTCATTCCTTCTTCTCTTTGACTGTCCCTAAAGCAGAATCTCTAGGCACCATAGTAGACTCATTTTCCTGAGCTCTAATCCAGCCTTAGACATTTACTAGCTGTGTGACCCTGGGCAAGTCACTTAACCCTGTTTGTCTCAGTTTCTTCATCTGTAAAATGAGCTGGAAAAGGAAATGGCAAACCACTCCAGGATCTTTGCCAAGAAAACCCTAAATGGGGTCAGCAAGAATCAAACATGACTGAAATGACACAGCAACAAAGCAGAATCTCGTCTGCTCTCCAGCCCCAGCCCTTTTGACTGAGAGATGTGTGAGGTTAAGTATTCAGGAAATGAAATGATTCTCTTGGCAAATAAATTAGGTGTGAGGATACAGTGCTTAGGGAGAAAAAAATATTGGACAAAGTCTGAAAAAGATGGTGAATGGGCAGAGGGGGAAAGGGGTAACTGAAAGGACAGACCAAGCCATAGAGAAAGTTAGAGATGGCAGAGATGTAACCCAAACCAGAGAGGTAAAGAAAATCCAGAAATAACCCCTCTGTGAGGCCACATGAGCCAAACTCGTGAGAAGAATGAGCATTAAATCCTTAAGCAAGGAAATGAACAGTCCAGCCAAAAAGACAAAAAAATCAGGGGAAAGGAGTCGGGTTTCGGTTGGCATTGAAATGCTTCTAAAATGCTGTTTTCCAGGGGATGACCCTGATGTGACCTCATCCTAGTTCAAACAATCCAGCAGCTCCTTCCTCTGATGCCTTTCTACCCTTTCTCTGTTCCTTAGCAATATTTCCAAAATAACTTCTATTGGGATTTTTTTTTTTACCTCACTTAAATTTCCCAATGTTTGGATTTTCTTCTGAACTAAAAGAGACCAGGTCTTTTTTCTTCCCAGGACGAGGAAGAACAGCAAGTTTTTGAGAACACAGTTTGTGCTACCTGTGTGACCTGTCGCTTCATATCTATAGCCCTCAGTTTTCTCATCTGTAAAATGAGATGGTTTGGCTAAAGAGGATCCCTGTGGTCCATCTGGCTCTGGCATTCTGTTCTGTGATTCAATAGTCTCTCCATGTGTCTTGGAAAGCTTCCGAAGCAGATAGTTTCCCCTAATTTCAGCTTGACCCTTGATTCCAGCTTCATAATCAAATTCTGCTGTACTCAGATGGAAAGCTATTTCTCTAATAATCTGCTTCTCCTTTTCAATAAAGCACAGAACCATAGCTCTTAAAATTAGAAGGGACCTTAGAGTTAATCTAGCCCACCAGAGGCAGCTAGGTGGCTCAGTGGATGTAGCAAACTGTACCTAGCATCAGAAAGACCTGAGTTCAAATCCAGCCTCAGATACCCATTAGACATGTGACTCTGGGCAAGCCACTTAACCTCTGTTTCAGTTTCCTCATCTGTAAAATGAAGATAATAATGGTACCTACTTTTCAGGGTTGTTGTAAGGATCAGATGAGATGATATTTGTAAAGTGCCTGGCACATAGTAGACACTATATAAATGCTAGCCATTATTATTATTATTATTCTAACTCCTACCTTAAGCATGACTACTCTCTATAACACCTGTGACAAGGTTAAAAGTGGGTGATTTAACTTCACTTATAAATGTGTGTCCCAGAAGTCTTAATTTGGCTTAATGTCTTAATGCACTAAGACTTTTGGAACCCCCTAGAGTGGGGTTCCAAAGTGAGAGTGTTAAGGAGAAAGGGGTAATCAACAGTGTCATGGGCTGCAGAGAGGTCCAGAAAGATGAGGACTGAGAAAGGGCCATTAGATTTGGCAAATAAGGGATCATTGGTGACTTTGGAGAGTAGTTTCAGTTGTATGACAAGGTCAGAAGCCAGACTGCAAAGAGTTAAGATGCTGAGAGGAAAGGAAGTAGAATCGCTAATTATAAGTGGCTCTGTTAGGCGGTTTAGCTGCAAAAGGGAGGAGAGATGAATAACAGGATCTGGTGAGGGCTTTTTGATTATGGAGTAGATGTGAGTATGTTTGTAGGTTGTAAAAAAGCAGCCAATAGCAAGAGATTGAAGATTAGTTAGAGAGTAGAGATGATGGGGCAGTTAGGTGCCACAGTGGATAGAGTGCTAGGCCTGGAGTCAGAAAGATTTGAGTTCAAATCTGGCCCCAGACCAGCTGTGTGACCCTGGGGAAGTCATTTCACCATGTTTGTCTTGGTTTCCCCACCTGTCAAATGAGCTGGGGAGGGAAATAGTAAACCATTCCTGTCTCTTTGCTAAGAAAACCCCATGGACAGTGTTGACATGCTATTGTCTATAGTGTCACTACTGAATAAGCAACAATAACAGGGATGATAGAGCAAGACAGTCTGCTAGAGGGGAAGGGATAGATCATCTTGGGATGGATAGGATCACTTGTGCATGTAAAGGGATTTGCTTTGGCAAGGAAGATACTGGGAGAAGGCAATATGTGCAAGAGGTGAAATCTGAACCCACATCTTCCTGATCCCAAGGGTAACTTTCCACTACACCAAGATGCCTCTAATCCCTCAAAATTCTTGGATACTTTTAATTAATTAATCCTTACCTTACTAAGCAGCCCCTCCCATTTTCATTGTTATTTTTTGACTGAACAGGTGATCTCAATCAATGTAGGGAGCTCCAGGTGAGAGACTTCCTCTGCTAATGTGAATCAGCCCTTTCTCTGCAATTTATGGTCTTAGAAGGTTACTTAGGGGCCCAAGAGATTAAGCGACTTGTTCACACAGCCAATATTTATCAGAGGCAGGATCTAAACCAAGTTCTTCCCATATCCAAAGCCTGCGGCCCATCTGCTATGTCACACTGCCTCTCCGGCCTCACTTTGGAACAGCTTCATTGACTATAAAGTTCTTGCTTATTTTGAGTTGAAATCCATGGCCCTGCTATGATTTCTACACACTGAGTCTAGTTCTGCCCCTCAGAAATCTACACAAAATATTTGGATGGCTCTTTCTCTGCTTTCCAGCTCTCCTTGCCCCTAAACAAAGAAACAAGGAGACATAGGTCGTACTTAGAGATTTATCATCCCTGTTCACAAACACAAACCTTTCTCCTGCTGGCCTCAGTTTCCCATCTTGCCAGAAACTCCCTTGGAGGGTAGATAGAAGAGTAAAATCCCAAGTTAATCCATTTTACCATGGGTTAGCACTTCTGTAAATATTTGATGGGGGCAGGAAGGGTAAAATTAATTGTTTAAATGACGTTTGAGGATTATCTGAGGAATCCTTTTATCCTTGTTCTCCAAGGACATTCATGGGCACAGACTTAAATGAGCTTTACTTTAACTATTTCACACCAAAAATCTTCAATTATCAAAATACAGGAGGTGTTATCATGATAGTGAATCATTGAATTAAACACTCAGAGTTATACAATATCTTAAAATTAATTTAGTTTAATCTCCATATTTTCTGGAAAGGTAATAGAGGCCCAGAGACTTTAGCTGACTTTTCCAGGGTCACATGAGTAATATGTGGTGGAGCTGGGATTCCGACCTAGATCCTCCAAATCCAGAACTCTTTCCATTGTACCAGGCTGATGAGGTTCATTCATTCATTCATTCATTTATTCATCCATTCATTTTTTACATTTATTTGTTTGTAAAGCAAACAATTGTTACACTAAAGTAGAAATTAAGAAAAAAAAGAATATTAAAGAGTTCTTACCCTTTTAAAGCAAGGAAAAAACACAGGATTTGAGAATGGAGACAACTTCTGTGTAATCATAAACCAGGCAGTTAAAAGCTATTAGTAGGTAGGGATAGAGGTGTCTACTTTCATCATGACAAATATGGATGACAAAACATTGTGGGAGTTGTTGCCCTGTTCTCTGGGTAAATTGTAGATATTTAATTCTTTAAATATGAAATAGATGATTTTATATTCGATTCTAGAGATGATAGGGAGCTACTGGAGTTGATTGAATTGGGAGAGGGGAGTGACAGCTTATTGTTACAAAGTATTTGATGTATTCCATCTCATCAGACCTCACCACATCTTTTTGATGCAGCTAGGGCAGCAAGATGGCACAGTGGATAGAGTGCCCGGCCTGGAGTCAGGAAGATGTGGGTTCAAATCTGGCCTCAAACACTTCCTATCTGTGTGACCCTGGCCAAGTCACTTACCCCTGTTTGCCTCAGTTCCCTTATTTGTGAAATGAGCTGGAGAAGTAGCAAATCACGCTAGTATGTCTGCCAGGAAAACCCCAAATGGGGTCACACAGTCAGATACAACTGAACAACATTGTTCAGATGAGCTACTTTAAATAGGTCATTCTTCTCTTTCCATGCTCAGCTTCTATCTTTTTCCCATGCATAGTCCCTCTAAGGGGTATTCTGCCTGGACCCTGACGTGGTAAGAAAAGGCTCTAGTAGAAACCATGTCCTATTGCAAAGTTCTTTGGCTGAGTTTACTGCAGAAAGGTGAGTTCTGACTTGTGCCATGTCAACTCTAGACACTCAAGTGAAAGCAGCAGATCTGCATTGTTCCAGGCCTAACTCTTGGTCTCCTCCGTAGGGTAGTGAATCAGGAAGAAAAGTCATTTGCTATCGGCGTGCAGTTCCTGCTGATGAGGCTGCTGGGTAAGTGTCTGAGTATCCCATTCATAATAGATCAGTTGTTGTTGCTGTTTGTTGTTTGTCCTTCCTCCTGAAAGAGGACCGTGACATCAGGGAGGTGATGCCATGACTCACAAGTGAATTGGATTTAAGGAGGGAGGGCTGTGCACAGTCACCAGCCTCACTCTCTCCTCTGGTGCTGTCTGGGTCCAGTGGCCAGATATTGACCAGGACCACTGGAGATGGCCCAATATGTCAGTTGGTCATTTATTAAATGCCTACCATGTGCTGGCATTGGGAATTGCAATGAAAAGGAAAGGAGCTCATAGGAAGCAACTTGCAAACAGCTAGGTACAAAAAGGATACATATATATGATTAATTGAAGATGATCCTGAGGGAAGGCATTAGCATTAAGGGGATTGCTGTGATGAGTGAAAAGTCCTAGAGACATAATTTCTGGGTAATTAACAATGATTTTATTAATTATGACTGGTGAGTAATTAATAAAAGAGAAAGACTTTTTCCCTCCCCCAAAAGTAAGACTTTAACTGATACTGGAAGGAAGCCAGGGAAGCCAAGAGACAGAAATAAGGTAGGAAGGAGTTCCCCACATGTGGAATCTGTAGGGAAAACGCTTGGAGTTTGGGAGATGGCGTACTGTGTGTGGAGAACAGCAAGGAGGCCAGTGTGTTGGATTGCAGAATATGGTGAGGATATAAGATATAGTCATAGACATAGACCTAGACCTAGACCTAGACATAGTCATACTCATACTCATACTCATAGTCATAGTCATAGACATAGACGTAGGCATAGGCACAGGCATAGGCATAGACATAGACATAGACATAG